GTAGAAACAACACGAGCTGCACATAAGGTGAGTTGGGAATACTCTGAGCTGAGAACAGGTGAACTGAGAATAAAGGGAGTTGGGAATGCTTAACATAAGCCAGAGATAACCAGAAGCTGGGAATAGCGTGAGCTTAGACTAGGAAGTGATGGGAATACCACGAGTTCAGCACACCTGGGAATAATTTGATCACAGAATACCAGGAATTAGGAATATCATGAGATGGGAACATTACGGGCTGAGAATAAGGTGAGTTGGGAATGCCATGAGAAATACTATGAGCTGGGAATACTTGGAGATGGGATAACAGGATGTGGGAATATTGTGAGCTGAAAATAAGAGCTGGGAATATCATGAGCCAGGAATACCAAGATCTGGGACTGCCATGAGCCAGGAATGCCAAGAGCAGGGACTGCCATGAGCCAGAAATCCCAAGAGCTGGGACTGCCATGAGCCAGGAATATCAAGAGCCAGGAATGTCATGAACTATGAATATTTTAAACTTTGAATACCAGAGCTCAGGGATACTTTGAGCTGTGAATAACAAGAGCTCTGAATACCAGGAACTGGGAATATTGTGAGCTGGAAATGCTGTGAGCGGGGACTACCATGAACTGATAATACCAGGAGCTCAGAATACTGGGATCCAGGAATACCAAGAGTGAGGAATAGCATGAACTGAGAATACCACGAGTTTCAAATAAGGCAAGTTGGTAATATAGGCAGCTGGGAACACCCTGAGCTGAGAATAGGGTGAGCTGGGAATACTCAGCATCAGCTGAGATACAGAGAGGTGGGAATGCCAGGAGTTCAGAATACTGGAGCTGGGAACATCCTGAGTTGAGAGTAAGGTGGGTTGGGAATACTGTGATGAGGGAATACCTGGAGCCGGGGTTATCATGAGCTATGAATACCAGGAGAGTAGAATACCGAAAGGCAGGAATACCATGAGATGGGAATAGCAGGACATGGGAAAACCATGACTGGCAGCATCAGAGCTGGAAATACCAGGACCTGGGAATGTCATGATCTAGGAATACTGGGATCTGGAAAATCATGAGATAGGAATGTCATGAACTATAAATAGGGTGAGTTAGGAATAGCATGGGTTGGGAACATGGTGAGCTAAGAATAAGGGGAGTTGGGAATAGTTAATATCAGCTGAGATGTCCGGAGCTAGGAATACTGTGAGTTTAGAATACAAAGAGATGGGAATGCCCTGAGCTGGGAATAGTGGGAGATGGG